GCAGACAAGCTGTGCTTAACTCCTGTTCCCGACCGTCGGGACTTGGTGCCCCTTTCAGCTGTTTGTACAGGAGGCTTGTAGAACATGGATCTAGTCCTTTAGCTCTACCGTCTGACCTATTTTCAGTTCACGCCTGGAGACTGAGGATTAGGTAATGGCTAAGGCCCATCCCCTCTGTTCTTTGTAACAATACCAACAGCCACAGGCTGCCCAGCCCTCTCCTTGCTGCAGGGTCTTCCCAACCCTCGGCACAGTGGTTTCCCCACCTCACACAGCATCCTTAGGATGTTAACACAGCCCAATGTGCTCCACATTGGTTAGGCTAGTTCCCCAAGTTCCTGCCCTGTCTGAGTTCCTGCCTTGGCTTCACTCAATGGACTGTGACTCAGGATGTGTAAGTCAAACGAACCCTTTCCTCACCAAGTTGCCTTTGGTCATGGTGTTTCATCACAGCAACAGCAACCGTAACTAAGACAGGCCCTGTCAAGCTGTAACTATTTAGTGAATGTGAAGCTGTGTCCACTGGTAGTGGCAACCAGCTTGCCACTGAGCTCATGATGCCACCATTACTAGTATGGCAGCAGTGGGAGAAACTGTGTAGAACTCAGACTGCAGACAAGGCCCTCAGTGACTCTCTGACCGTATGCTATAACAGGAGACCAGGCCTTGCCGCTACTGCTATGCGGTTCAGCTAACCCTGCTCACAAGGCTCTTCAGTGGGTGGGGTACTTACCCCATCCCTGGTTATTATCCATCAGATCCCCCTTCCTGAACCATTGTCACTACCAAGAATGCCTCCAGGTATCAATGACTATTCCCTAGGGGACTAAACTCACCTCTGGGAGAGAACTAGTGATCTAGAAGTTTCTGAGCATGGGGTCTATAATGACCCATGACATGGGCTATCTGTTTCAAACATTCCTAGACTTTTGTCTGGTGTTATTTAGAGGCCTGTTGGCCTTTAGGCATGAAAGTCACTGCTCCCTGTCCTGGTGACTGGGGTGCTATGTGGTTGTCCTACTTCTCCTGGGTCAGCACTACTGCTGGAAATAGCTGATAGCCAGGAACTAAGGAGGCACAGTACAAAGTTACTCAGCATTCTGATCAGGAGGGAAAGAAATCTACCTTCCCCCTGTGGCTGGCTACTCAGGAAGCTCCTGCTTTTTCTCAGACCACATGCAAAGAAGGGAGCCTGGGCCATCCTTCTAATGAGGCCGCCTAGCATGGTGTAGGGAGCAGACCCCTGCCCTGCAGGGGCTGAGACAGGAGTGTCAGCCTTTGAGATGTGAGAGCACAGTGGCCGAAGGCTGACTAGCCAGGGGATGTTCTCCAATGCAAGAAGCTTTGGGAGGGACTGACAGAGGGGCGTTCAGGATCCATGGGTGAAGAGCAAACATCTCTCTCTTCCATCATACAGTTCCCTAAAAAAAGTAAGCACTATAAAAAAAGACAGGTAATGTGTATGATACTATATCTTAATTCTCCATGGAAGTCCTGTTTTAGAAAACAAAACCATAGAAGGAAAAGAATGCAAGAAAGACCTGTGTGAATGTGAATACTTATTAAGGGTGTAGTCTTAGTGTGCCACAGTTCTCAGGAAATGAGTGTCAAGATAGGAGGCATGAAACATGGTCTAACTCTCCATCCAAATTAAAGTTGCATAAGCTAACAACTTGGTCAAAGCCAGGCAGTGTCACACTACTGCCACCTTCTGGTCAGGTCCTAGAATTGCCAGTATAACACCCATAGATAAAACTAACAAATCTTCCCAAATACCCCAAACTATCAAATTAAAACAAAGACACTGAAGTTTTAGTCCTAATCCACAGAGACAGTGTGATTGCTGGAGCTCTTCTGTTATCAAATGCAGGGTTGCTGACCTTTCTTGGATGGGGAGCAGCATAAGATAACAACAAAACAAAGTGCAGACGATCACCAGAGAGACGGAGCATTAAAATAGCCATGCACAACATTTGCATAATGGGAAAAATATTTGAAAATTAGCAAAACTTAAGCACTTCCTTATCAGAACACACTGACTAATAACCATAGATCCTAGCAGGAAGGCATACAATTGACTGGAGGCCCACCCCACCCCAATCATGCAGGCACGCAGGTACAAATACACATACACAGATGTCAGGTATGACTTCCCTGTAGAGACATGAAAGCCCAAATGATGTTTGTGCTCAACACTGCCAAAGCTGCAGGAGCCCGGGAGCCTGAAGGGAGACTGCAGAGAGCTGAAAAGTTATATGAAAAAATGTATTCACCATGGCAGAAGATAAACTGTTAGACTGAAGCGATCTGTGGAAGGGTGGTGCTCTGAGAACACCCTGACAGTCAGGGAGGAGGGGCGAGGGTATTGCTGAGACTATTGGCCAGGGCTGGCACAGCACTTGCAAGGGATGGTATGGATATGGGTATCTGTGTTGGTGTTGGGGGAGTGGCAAACAGGGCCAGGCACTTCAGAACAACAGAGGACTAATTCACAGGGGCCTTGACATTGGTTCTTGCCCTTGGCACAGAGGTGATGCATCTAAAACCAACATCTTGCCTTGACGAGTGCTATGACAACCAAGTTTGCTATAGATGGCCCTCCAGGGCCCCCTGCTTGCAGCAGGAACACTCACTTCTGTCTAACACTTCCAGAGAAAATTACTTGTAAGAAGATGATAAATAAAAAATAAAAAATAACGGGCTTCCAGGAAGGGCTGAGGAAACCCTCAGCCAATAGCAGCTGCAGAGATAATTGTTCTGAATCTATCAATAATGCTAAGCCCCTCTTCATTGACTGCAAACACCAATTTCTTTCACCCAGGATTATAAGTTGGTGTTCCCGGGCTCACTACTGCCATTACGGTGATAAACAGTTGAGACCACAACAGGATCTGACATGTAGATCAATTCTGGGTCCATAAAAAGTCTACACAAGAGGTTCCAGGACAGGAATTTACAGCCACCAGTTTTTTATTCTCTCTTGCTGCAAAAATTACTTCTGTCAAACACTTAGGAGAGTGAGGAAAAATGTAAAAAAATTAATTTTTCATGTACTACTGGAACAGCCTTTTTCAGTGCAGAAGTGCAAGACGAATATACTCAGCGTTTAAAAAATTACACGGCGCAGCATGTGGTACTTAGTGGAAGAGGGATCCAATCCCCGGTGTTGCTCGCAAGCCAGCAGACAGCAATTTGAAACCCTGAACAGAGCTGTCTGGATTTTCTCTGAGGGCAGATGCCGGGCTCACGTTAGCAATGCCAAATTATATTAGACGTTTAATTTTAAACCTCAGGTATTTAATGTAAAGCTCTACAACAGTAATAGCCATAAAGCAGTGGGGCATTCCATCTCACAGAATGGGTTCCTCTTGCCTTCTCCTCTTAATTTAGCCAGAGCCTCCTTCCTCCAGTTTCACCCACTACAAAGTCATCTATCTAATTAGGAGTTGCTCGTAGCTGCTTAGAGGCAGAAGCCCCAGGGATACCTGCATGTCAAAGGGGAAAGATTGAAAAGTTCTCTGAAGCTGAAATCTTAATTTAGGGTGGACAGGAGGGCAGAGCAAACAGACTTCTAGTGCTGGGCCAGAAGATAAGCCGTTCACTGCTGGTGGAGGTCAAGTCTAATGCTCCTGGGCCCTGCCTGCACTGCTGCCAAGTGGCAAGTTCCTGGTAACCCTGATATACAGACCAGAGACATGTGGTGTGTGTGTTGAGTTGGTGGATAAAGTGATTATACAAAGGAAGGTCTTGTATCAACCAAGAGGAAGGGAAAACATGACGGAAAGTCCTCACGCTTGTCTCATTGGTTACTGCCATGAAGGACAGAAGGGGAATGTTTGGTGATGAACGATCTCGTAATACACTTAAACACACATTTTACTTAATTGTCCCATAGGATTCTGTGCTTCAGTGTTCCTTAAAAATGGTGTGGGTTGAGGCTGGCCCCTGATGGATCTGCACACTAAAGGTGGGATGGTACTATAACCAGAGGGAGAGATTACATGGTACCCCAGAGTGTTTGGGAGCAGCCTGGGCTCCTGCCCTTCTAGCCAATTCCTGGAAACTGTCTGTCAGATAGTCCTTGGTTCAGATCACCTTTCCTGACCCCACTTCTCTCCTGCATTGGGGCAGGCTTGCTCGGAAGCACTTGCTTGGCCCTGTCTGCTGAAACACCGTGGAACAATCAGAAGATGGTGTTTACCCAAAGCAAGCGTCCTGTAGCAGCAGCTGGTGGGTCCACAGGGAAGACCTGACGTGGAATCTTTTAATTAGAACAAATTATGCTAAAATGACTCTCAAACCCTGTCTGATAGATTACATACAACAGTGGGAATTCCCTTAAATACCGGTGAACAGGCCACAGACAGAATGCCACAGGCAAAACAAGCTGCACCAGCCAGTGCACGGGGCACAGTGCATAATTCATGTTGTGACACATACGTCAAAAGGCAGTTTCCAGGGTGCCACATCTGTCCCCCAAGAAGCAGCCACACTTGTCAAAAACTATGGAAATCTAGGAGAGATGATGGTAGAGAGAATTCCCCAGAACTTAGAAGTTATACCAGGAATCTTGGAAGACTAAGAGGCAGAATGAACAGACGGGACAGTATGAACTATATGCGAATGGCAAGATGCTCGCGATCCATGGAGGGCAGAAGACTGGTACGAGACAGCTGCCATCCCCTTTCAACTTCACCATGTCTCTGTTGTATAAGCACAGGTAAGATACTTGTCCCCTCCTCAGCCTCAACTTCCAAAGCTGACCAGTGAAGAGGATTCAAGGTCTACACCTGACCAGAGAACATATGAATGATGGGATGTGCATGAGACAGGAGATCAAGGACAAAGTGCTCACAGATGACTGGTGAGACATGTGCGCCACTGTCATAGCAGCCCCACGGCACCATGCTCCCTGTGGAGCATGGATGCCCTGGGCATTGCGCCCAGCCCCTGGCTTTCACAGAGGACCTGGCGACGGCCGCGGTCTGCGCCCCTCTTACCACTGCTGATGGCTGAGTTTGCAATGACTGTGGCGTCGCTCCACTGGTCGGCACTGGAGACTGAGTAGGAGCGCTGGTGCATGCCATCGGGTCGGCTGTTGAAGGAGACCAGGCTGATGCCGCTTGCCATCTGAGACCCAGACGTACTAGTGACATTCCCTAGGAATAAACAAGTCAGATGAACACCACGACGGACTGCAGACCGCAGAGGCCAGCACGACCTCGTCTAGGGGGCTGGCACACACTGGCACCTGACCTTTGTGCTCTGCTGTCACCCTGCCGATGTGGCAAATTAAAGGAAGCATCATGAAGCATAAGATCACGAGGAAGAAAAGGGGGCTGTGAACGCCAGCGGTGCCCCGCTGAGGCACGGGGAAAGCAGGCTGCAGACACTGCCCACAGAACGGTTACAAAGACGAGTGGTCTTGCTACAATCTCTAAAGACAAGAGAACCAGTGAGTCCAGCAAGAGAGCAGCACACAGGCTCACCCACTGGGCGTCAACTACTGGTACCAAGGGACGCTGTTGACAAGGCAGCTACCCCTTACAATCAGCACATAGCAAGTCTCCAGAGGCGCCACAGTGGAGGTGGAAACCCTGACTCCTGACCTTACAAAGATTCTGCAGAACAAAAACGTCACCCCAGTGGCTTCAGATCTCACACAGACAATGAAGAAAGATAGATCTGTTGTAGGCTTAATGATATGAGTCAGTTGCTCAACATTAAAATACATAAAATACATTATTGGTCACACCAATTTTAGACTCAAAAATTCAGTTAGGTGCTTTTTTCTAAGGCTAAGCCAATCATGCCCACAGCCTGTGAATGGGTCTGTTAGAGAGACAGGGATAGGTGAATCTTTGGAGATACTGGCTTTTTTTTTTTTTTTTTTTTTTTAAAGAAAGGGTCTCTCTACATAGCCCTGGCTGTCCAGGAACTCACTATGTAGACCAGGTGGCATCAAATTCACAGAGAAGGCATGCATCACCATGCCTGGCTACTGATTTCCTAATTTTTAATTTTCCTAGTTGTTCTGGGTTCAGAAGCCAGGAAGTTCTAGCCTGTTTCAGTGGAAGGTTTCCATGGGGTGTGGCTGGTAAGTGAGTGGGCCATTAGTTGTTCCCAAATCTGGCCAACTTTCAGATTTTCTCCTGGAAAACTAGGGGCTTAAAAAAAAAAAAATCAGGCTTCTGATTCTGTAAGGGACAGGGCCGGAAGAATTTGTGTTCTCATGCCCTCGGGCACACACACGCGAACACGCACGTGAACATGCACAGGGGCACACACTGGCAAGGCAGAGTCCTTTGCTGAGAGGCAGCAGGGAACAGAACAGCACACACGCTCAGTGAAACCTGGACTGGAGATTGTCTCACTGCTACAACACAGCACCTGAAGAGAGCCACTCAAGGGAAGAAGTCCGCGATTGGCTCGCGTTGGGGGTACAGTCCATTGGTCACATGGTAACTCCAGCCCGGAAGCTGAGCACCACAAGCGCTAGTGCTCACCGGATCCTCCAGACTGATTTGGGGATACAGTCTGTGGAAGAGTAAAGCTCACATGCGTGTGAGGAGGCTCTGGTCAAAACCTCAGGGCCGGCCTGCCTCACCTGGTATGTTCTGAAGGCATAAGAGCGTCTTAACCCCCTGGAAAGGAACCACACTGTTCTGAGACCCATGTTCTGGGTGACAGTGCCATGAACAACAAGACCCTGCTCTTGTCCCACTCCTCCTAGAAGTTGGGAGGGGCCACTGTTACCAAGGAGACATTATACACAGCTGCTGGGATTCTTCACACGCCTCCTCTGAGGCCACCCTGAAGCTGCCTCTTGGTAAACTCATTCCCATAGTACAGAGAGTGGGTGAGGGGCTCCCTCCACAAGAAACAAGAGCTGTGCTCTGACAGCCTGTGCCAGCCATGTTCCTGCTGTAACGCCTCTGCCTGGCTGTTCTCCTGGGGCCACCCACATGGGCTGTGTCCATTGCCTCTAAGGTCTCAAGAGCAAGGCTCAACTAAGAAAGTAGGCAGGGATATAAAGGAGGGGTCATCGAGAATGAAGGTTATAGTTCTGAGGTTGTTTCCTGGGCCCTGCCTTAGGCTGGCTGGCTGCTTCTCTGCTGGCACCATTCCCACCAGTTCTGGTACTCATACTTTCCTACGCATCCTGAGGTCACATACAAACCCATCTGGGCTGTATTTATAGAAGAGCCACCACATGCTACACCACAGTCTCCCGATTCTCTCCCACTTCTATCTCACGAGGTCCTTGAAGATAGAGGCTGTGGGACACGGCTAACACGACAGAAAAAGAGCAGTGCAGGAGTCAGGGTGTGGTGGGGCACACGGGAACCACAGTGCAGGAGTCAGGGTGTGGTGGGGCACACGGGAACCACAGCGCAGGAGTCAGGGTGTGGTGGGGCACATGGAAAACCACAGTACTGGAGAGGTAGAAACAGGATGACAGTGAGCTCCAGGCCAACCTGGGCTAAAAAGAGAGTTTCAGGCCAGTCTGGGATAGGAAGATCCTTCTCAGAACAATGAAATAAGTTGCATACTCAGGAAGTTAGGGGAGAGCCTCCTCTTTGGTCTTCCACGTCCTCTGAGTCTACCCAGCCTACAGAGACTCCTGCCAATTAACAACATGTCAAGATGATTCCGCCTACAGGCATTTTTATGCCAACTTTAGTCTACACGGCCCAAACACCTAGGAAACTCAAAATGAATTTGTCCATTTTTGGTCCAGGATGATAATGCTCAACACCACAGCCAATGTTTCCTTTGTCCATTTTCTAACAAGGATGCAGTGATGGATCAATCATCAATTTGACATACTTCAGAATCACCTGGGAAGGTAGTTTGGTGAGGGTGGCCTGTGGTACACCTGTGGGGGATTGTCTGAACTGCCTTAATTGATGTGGGAAGGGCTTTGGGCCCTGTATTGTAAGCAGAGTACATGAAGTGTGTTGAGTAGGAAGAATGGGCACACTCATCTCTCTCTGCTCTTCACTGTGGGTATGATGAGATCAGATGCTTCAGGTTCTTGACTTTCCTGAAAGGATGGACTGTAACCTGGAACTGTGAGCTGAAATAACGTTGCTTTTTGTGAGGGCGCCGTATCACAGCAACAGAAATGAAACTAACAGGCCTCCAAACTTTTAACACTGTCATCTACGAAGTTTGCACTTGAGAATGGGGTAATCACATTACAATAAATAAACAGAACTGCCAAAAAAACCCAGCCCCCAAACAACAACAACAACAACAAAAAACAAGACAAGACAAAACAAAACAAAACAAAAATGCTCAAGTAAAGGATTCCCAAGTCTTTATCACTGTCTACAGAAACAGGCCTTGGAGAAAAACTTTGGTCTAGATAGGAAGTCCCTCTGAACTCACAGGATCAGGGCAAAACAATCAAACAGAGATATCGGACTCGCTTAGGCTTGCCAGTGCTTTGTCTGGTGGTTGGATGTCAAACTGCTTGAAAATGAAGGCAGATTTTCTTAGTGAACGTGCTACAGAAAGCACAGGCGAAGGTTGCTCATGCATTCCCGACCGCTCCTCTCAATTGCAAACCTCCTGCTGTTTGTCAAATGGAATTTAAGCACAATCTGGATATAGTAAGAGGGTGGCGAGGCAGCTCTGGCGCTTGGTACAAAACTCACCTTCTAGAGGAGGGAGCCTCCAGGGAATCAAACAGGACCTTAGGTGGCCAAGAACTCCCTAGCCTTCCTGGCTGCTCTAAGAAAGTAGAAATCCTCATTTTACCAGACACTCAGATCCCAATGGCAAGACTAGACTGGAACACAACTTATGTATGACCACAGTTATGAAGGTAGAATTCTGAGCTGGGTGTCTGTACCTGGAGTCATGACATGAAGTTCTCACAGGTAACATTTTTGCTTGGGTACAATGATTTTATACCTAAAGTAGAAGTACATTTGGGAGATTTCATCTCAAAATGTCAATTACAACCAAAGAGCCCAGGGTTTGGGCTAGCTAGGGTTCTAGCAGATAAAGGCATTTGTTATCTGATGACTTGAGTTTGATTCCTGGGACACACATAGAGGAAGAGAGAACTGGCCCTCTCAAGTTGTCCTCTGATCATAAAATGCCCCAATAAACAAAGAATTAAAATATACAGCTTCTAGAATTACTTGGCCGATACGAATGTCTGACAGTAATGGTCCTGGCTTTTCTCCTGGATACAGGGAATTGAGACAGTGTGTGCTGACTGACCTGATCGCACTGCCTTGCCATCTACTCAATACCCTGCCCACTGATTCCTACATTTTTATGACTCAGATCTAAAGAGTTTTCTAAATGCAGAGGGAAAAATGCTAGAAAGCTAACAAAATCTGATTTTTCTCCATGGGAGTAAAATTCTTTTTTATATGTACTAATTTATTCCATTTTAAAATGAGTTAAGAATTATACTGATTATGATGTAATAAACCAAAAATGTTTTCTCTGTCAAGCATGGTAACACACCTATAGTCCAAAGGGACTTGGACTTGGGAGATAAAGGCAACATGACGGTTGCCGGTTTGATGCTAGTCTGATCTACAAAGTGAGATTCAAGCTATAAAACGAGACATTGTCTCAAAACAATACAATGGCAACACATTAAAAAAAATAACCTCAAGGCTGACACAGGAATGCATCTGTTAAACTGCAAATAAGAAATATATGAACATTAGGAAATGTTTCTACACCTAATATACAGTTCAAAAGTTGTAACATGAGGGCCGGCTTGTTGGGGTATCTATTCCCGCCCAGTACCCCACAGCCGGCAAGTCCCAGAGAAAATCAATCACACAGAGATCTTTATAAGTTATAAAGCTGATTGACCCATTAGGTCAGGCTACTTATTAGCTCTTATGACATATGTTACCCCATTATCCTATCTACGTTAGCCATATGGCTTGGTACCTTTTTCAGCTGTCAGCTCACATGTTGCTTCTCTGTGGTCTGGGCAGGAATGGCAGAAGAAGCTTCTTGCTTCCTAGCCTTCTCCTATTCTCATTGCCCCGCCTCTACTTCCTGTCTGGTTGACCTGCCTCTACTTCCTGCCTGGCCAATCAGCATTTTATTAAAATACATGATTGACAGAATACAGACAATTCTCCCACACCAAAAAGTACACAAGCAAATACTGCTT